GTGTGTGTGTGTGTGTGTGTGTGTGTGTGTGTGTGTGTGTGTGTGTGTGCATTACTGGGAATAGACCCCAAATCTTTTCTGATGCTAGCCATTTTCCTGGTGGGAGAGGAGAACATTGTCTTATGTAGCCCAGGCTGGCCTTTAACATGCTGTATGGCTAACAATGACCTTAAACTTCTGATCCTCTTGATTCTTTCCTGATTACTGAGATCATAGGCATGTAAGCTCAGCAAGATTCATTGTGTGTGTGTGTGTGTGTGTGTGTGTGTGTGTGTGTGTGTGTGTGTGTATTTATTTTAAAAGAAAAAAGAGGCTATGAATTTGAGAGGGATTTGGGAAAGGAGAAGGTTGGGAGTGATGGAAGGAAGAAGAGGGAGGGAGAAATGATATAATTATATTTTAACTGAATAAAAAATAAAGAGCAAGACAAAATGACGAGGAAACACAAACGTTAAGACCAGCTTTATTTCTGGGAGGGGAAAGGAAATGTCATCCAGAGACAAGAGCTGTGACGACAGTGCACTGGACGGTCCTGCTCACAGGGAATGGCTAGCCTGGGCTGCCTTGGCATGCCTGAGCCCTGAACACCCAGGTGAGAACTTGCCGGCCTCCAGCGCAGCCAGCGGTACACACAGCTCAACGTGGCCTCGGTCTGAAAATCCCACCGGAGCAAAGGAGCAGACATGGTGGTTCACGCAGGAGAAAGGGGACGGGTGGGAGGCCTGAGTGAGGGATGCAGAGCCAGGAGCAAACTCTGTGAAAAGACATACAGCCTTGGGTTGAAATCTGCTAGCCTTCGGTTTAGCTTGAAGAAAAATAGGAAGCTGTTGCAAGGCCTTTCCCAGGAAGCTGCATGACCTCTCGCAACCAAAGCCTCCCCAATGGGTCACAGATGAAGTGTCCCTGGGGAGGCAAGGGGAAGTAGTGTGGGGTCTAAAGGAGGTTTCGTCAGTAATATTGCAGTTATGGAGTAGCAACGAACTAACTTTATGATTGGAGTCACCACAACATAAGGAATTGTACTAAAGGGTCGAAGCGTTAGAAAGGCTGAGAACCACTGGCCTGGGAGCCTGGCTAAACAGAACAATTATTTGGTAAATGAATAGAAAGAATATTCTACTCAATCACCATCTCAAATGATAGTAACTCAGAGGATTTGGAAGTCAAGTGGTCTCATCAAGGCCGCCCCCCAAAATATCTATTCAGACACTACTTTCAGAATCCCCTGTTCCAAGCATGCTTTTCACGCACAGAACACAAACCGCAGGCCCTTGGAAAGAAAACAGCCACCTCATCTGCCTTTGCCTCCTCATATCTTGTACTTAGGTGCAAGGAGGAAAAAGAACAGGTAAGGGAGTAGGGCCAGGAAAAGCTTGCTATCACACGTTTATCATCATCATTATCACACAACACACACACACACACACACACACACACACACACACACACACACACACACACCGACTCACACCCCAAATAGGAAGATGTGCCAAACGGAGTAAAGAGAACTGAAAACTTACGGACCAAGGAAAAGCCGCACACATGAAAGCCATTAATACCTCAGCAATTAGTGCTCACTTAGCACCTCCTACTCCCCAGTGGGTAGCTAATTCTCCAGTCCTGGTTTTTTAACCAGCAGCAAATGGTGATGCACCCATTCAAAGGTGTTCATTCCAAACTCGGTGGTGAGAATTTGCTCCTGCTCTGATAGCCCTGAATTAGACCTGCCTCGGGATGATGGACGTGTTCAAGTCCATTCCCAAGAGAAATGCTGAGGGAAACAAAAACTTCTGGAAAGTGTAACTCTCCTCACACGCACTCCAAATGCAGACCCAGCCCACGGCCACAGAGCATTTCACTCCAGCAGCCAGGGTGATCACCCAAACAACCTCCTGCTAAAAGCATACTGTGGAGATGGTGGGTGAAAACGCATGGAAACCCACAGTTAGAACCCTCTAGCCATAAAGCCTGAATCTGAAAACAAATTTGATAGGCTGCAGCTATCAAAATGAAGGATGAGAAGCAGATAAGAGGCTAATGAGAAGCAGATGGCAAAGGTATTTCCACTGCTGTGGTGCCTTTCTGAAAATAGTTTTGAGATTTTATGTTCTGAAAACATTTTTATGTGAAGGTCTCTGGACATTTCACTATGCTTTATTCATTCTCTCTCTCTCTCTCTCTCTCTCTCTCTCTCTCTCTCTCTCTCTCTCTCTCTTTCTCTCTTCAACTTACCCATCATTTGTGACATTCTGAGAAGAATGGTTGGTATGCTTGTCTGTCTTGTAGAACACTCATTCTCTTGAAGGCACCAGGTGTTTATCCATTCCCTAGACATTTCCTGGGCAGGCAGGGAAAGAGCCAAGAGATGCTCTACTTTCTATTTTGTCAGAGGTGAGACTTGGTGTTCATGGGCCACCTGCTGCAGGGACCCTTTTCTTCCTCCAGAGGTAAATTAGAAAAGTGATACCCAAATTAGTGTCACACACACACACACACACACACACACACACACACACACCACTTTGGCCCATCACAGGGTCTGATGGGCTATTATCCCCCAGTTGGTAGGGAAAGGGGTAGAATTTACTGTAAGGGTTATAGGAAGAAGGGAGAATTGCCTCACCCTTTCTCAGAATAAAACCTGTTTTTTGAAATAGTTCATTTTATATTGGGACAATTTTGACTTGAGTATGTGGGTCATTTGTCTCATGAGAGGAGAGATACAAGTTATAGATGGCTTACCTCACTGAGAAATGACTGCCCAGTGGATAATGAAGGCCTGTCCTACACACGTAGGTACCAGCTTAGCTGTGTAAGAAAGCACAAAGGATGTGCTTTCAGAATTCAATGAGAGGTTAAGACCTGGCTCTGATATACACCATTCTCTGATATACACCTTCCCTCCACTGCCATAGAGTTAGATGAAATAAGACCGTCAGTATTCCTGGCTAGAGTCCGTCACGGAGAAGGCATCTGGCACAGGTCCACCTCCAGCCCCTGCTCTCTCTTTCCTGTCCTGGACACTCTCCCAGGCTCTAGACGCTAGGATAACTGATGGCCTGCCTCACTTCCCTCCAGATGGAGACCATCTAGGTTATAGGATGAGGAATGGATTCAGTGTGACCTTCAGCCATGTCCGTGTGATGTGTCAAAAGGAATTGACTCAGTGAACTGTCTGACTTGATTTCCATACCTCCATCATCAGGTAGCTGCCAAACAGCACTTAAGCCTGCCTGCCCAGAATATCAGTTCCCTTTTCTAGTCATACCAGCCTTTCCTTCTGTGAGCCCTTCAGAGATGGAAAAGTTCTTAAGGACACACCCAAATTATTCCTTGAGCCAAAACCCCACATATGGCGCTGGAGAACAGGAAAGGCTCTGCATGAATCCAAGTGGGCTTGGGCTTCCTCCTAGGAGGATAACAGAAATAGAAATTATTTTTCCTCTTGAAATTCTTGGTATAGAAAACCAAAAGACCCATGCAATAAAAAGCCAAAATACTAATACCTGGGCTTGGAGAGTGGGGTGTTACTGAATGAAGCCAGCCAGCAAAGAGACTCCCGTTGTTTACACATGAGCTTGATTTAAAAGAGAGAGCCCCTCTCTTGAGTTAAAAAAAAACCTAGCAACTTAGGGAGAGACCTCAAATAAGTGACATGAGCATTTTTAAGCACATTACATGAACAGGTTGTGGCTACACCATCAGTACTGAGAGCATGATACTATGTCCTTTGGGGAGGAAAATATTCTGTGTGGGGCTCCCACTATAAACTGGGACGATGTGGGGTTTCAATAGTTAGCATTTCTGAGTGTTTCTTGCACCACCTGCAAGTACACCACAAATTGGCCCTGTTTGTAACATGCTCACATCCCCACCGGTATAGCACATTCTTTGTGGTGTGTGGGATGCTGCCCTTGGTGCAAACCAGAGACCACCATGCAAGACTGAGAAAACCATTTTTGGTAGTATTAGTCATCCTGTATCGGGAAGCTTTTGTGACTGACTGTGCTCCAAGGAAGCCAGGGCAGCTCTAGAAATTTTAAAGACTGTTACTTATTCCTGGGAAACTTTAATTTGTTTATTAGGAGGGATTGGAACAGGGCCACCAACAACAGATGCTTTAGCAGAGGGGGACGGGACAGCACATGTTCACTCTGCATAGTGTCCACAGAGAACCTGGGTAAGAACCGCTGGGGTTTAATGACCTAATCCAGTAAGTTCGGCCAATAGCACCTCTTGGAAAGACCCAAACGCCAATTCCTTGGTGGAAATGAAGCATAATTAAGAGAACATAGTGAGGTCCTGCACACGTTAAGTCCCTGGGCTGCATTATTATCTCTAAGAAATGTTCAGAAGGTTTTAAGGAGCACAGGTAATTGCTTTTAACCAATAATCTGATCTCAAATATATCCCATCATGTCTCTCTCTCTAAAGGACAGTAAGTCCCTAAGAATGGTAGCAGGTAAGACTCATTAATGTAATGAATTTGACAGAGACTAAGAAAGTCAGATGGACAACAGGGATTCAGACATTTACATCTCTAGTCAGAGTGTGGATTCGCATTGCTGCCCACCCAGAAGACCGTGTATCTATCTCATAGGCCCAAAGCAGGGGCAACGCGGGTGGATCCTCCCGCTAAATCTGCAGAGCCCTGTTGACTCGGCGATGGTTTCCAGCAGCGTGAACTGTTCCTTAAATCTAGTCATCAGCCTGTGAGGCCATGGGTTGCCTTCACTGATGTAAACAAACCTGTGGGTGCAGCTGTGTTCATTCACCACAGCTTTAGTGGAATTTGTGTGTATTGTGAGTCTGGAGTGTGACAATCAACTTCCAAGTATGTTTTGGAGGTGTTGGGAGCCTGGGGGTACATACCTCCATCTTTAGTACCTCTCTCTGTCTCTCTGTCTCTCTCTCTCTGTCTCTCTCTCTCTCTCTACACACACACACACGCACACACACACACACACACACAGGAGAGGAAGGGGAGAGAGATAGATATGGAGACAAAGAAAGAAACACCAGTGATAAAATAGTTTGGTAAAGAAAATAATGTATAGGATTTGGGGTTGATTCTCCTGGCTTTCGTACTGTGTTAACTATGTGACCCAAACACGAAACTATCTGTTGATGTTTTTGTTCTCTTCATTTATAAAATAACTGCCTGTATTCAGGTTCATTCTATTGTCTCTTTCTTTTTCTTTTTCTTTTTCTTTTTTTCTTTTCTTTTTTTTTCAGTTCAAAGCTAACAAACATGTTTCCTTGCCTGGGCTGGTACACTTTATCTCATCCACACAGTTCACACTGGTGTGAACTAGCTTGAGCTGAGTTTCCGTCTACTTCTTTCTCATCTCGTTCTTTTTAACCTTCTACTCCTGTCCTGGCTAGCCTTAGCTGTCAATGTGACATGGCCGAAAGTGTCATCTGAAAGGAGAAACATGAAATGAGGCATCTCCTAGAGCAGGCGGGCCTTTGGGCAGGTCTGTGAGGGATTGGCGTCATTATTAATTGATGCAGGGGGCGGGGGCCAGCCCACTGTGGGCGGCACCATCCCTGAGCAGCAGAACCTAGGCATGTAAAAAAGGCATCCAAGCATGAGCAGGTGAGCCAGTCAGAGAGACAGCAAACGTACAGCTCCCCCGACCCATTTGTTTCTTCCCCGAGTTCCTGTCCTGACTTTCCTCAACAATTGATTTGTAAGCGTAAGCTGAATGACCTTTTTCTCCACTAAGTTCTTCCAGATATGTTTGTCACAGCAGCAGACAAGGAACCGGAGCAACTCCTCAACTCAAAAGCTTCCAACTCCTTAGACTTCCCTTCACCCAGACAGATTTCCTACTGCTGCATCTCCAACGGTCTTGGGAGAAACGGCAAAGAAATGCATGTGACCAACAATAAATACTCCAGGAGTCCATAACACATTCTCAAGGAACACTGTGCTCAGAGGTGGAAATACTGGAGAGGCACAGGCAGGCCCCAGATTGTAGATTCTGTCTGGATCTCCGGAGGACTCTTCACCCTCCTCTCCACAGCAGTGGAGCACTTCCTCCTAGATCGTAGGCACACACACAGGTTGTCCTGACCTGCTGAGCACAACCCTCCTTCCCAGAAAGAGGCATTTTCCCGAATGCATTCCCATTCTCCCTTCTCCCTCCCCAGCTGCCACTCCAGTGGACTACAATGGGTCACCTGTGAGAGTCTGTGTTCCCCCAGCTTCTGAGACTTTTAATACAAGGCTTCTACCATACCCAGCTGGTTACCGAAGAGAAAAGAGCTGTCTTTCATGTTCCTCTCACTTTTTAAAAACATATCTTTTTTTTAAATTTTTTTAAATATTTTGTTTTTATTTTTAATTATGCATATATGTCTGGGGAAGATGTGTGTGAATGCAATACTCATAGAGGCCAGAAGAGGGTGTCCTATCCCCCAAAACTGGAGTTACAGGTAGATATGAGCCAGCCAGTGTGGGTGCTGGGAACTGAACTTACAACCTCTGCAGAGAGCAGTCTGTAAGATGAATTGCTAAATGGTCTTACTAATAAAAACAAACAAAAAAACCTGGAGCCAGATATTGGGGTGAAAACTGTGAGATCAGAGGAATAGGACAAGCCACAGCCAGCCTCACCTTACCAACTCCTCAGCTGATCCTGTTTCCTCAAACGGGAAGCCTCTGAGTCCTCACCCAAAAGTGTCTCCACTGAACTGCTTAAAAGCCCCTAGTTTCTCGTCCTCATGCCTTATATACCTTTCTGTTTCCTGCCATCACTTCATGGGATTAAAGGCGTGTGTTCTTCCCAAGCAAACACATGAGATCTCACAAGCTGGCATTAAAGGTGTGTGCTACCACTTATGACTCTGTTCCCAGGGTGGCCTTGAACTCACAAAGATCCAGATGGATCTCTGCCTTCCAAGTGATAGGATTAAGGGTGTGTGCCACCACTGTCTGGCCTCTATGTCTAATCTAGCAGCTGTTCTGTTCTCTGATCCCCAGATAAGTTTTATTGGGGTGCATAATATATCAACCACAACAGTCAGTGGTCTTAACCACTGAGCCACCTCTCCAGCCCCTTCATCTCGCTCTTCATCACTGACTCCTCCTTTGTGAGCTTCCTCTTGCCTTCCCCTAATTCCACACATGTGTGCCCCTGTCTTCTTTGCACTATGAAGCCAACAATCTTCTTCATCTGAACTTACAAAGTTATTCCATCCACACTGTGATGCACCAAGACCTTTCAAGTTGTTGGGAATCCGAGGAGTTTGCAAACTCTGCCAAGGCCTTGCTGGGCCTGGGACAAGATGGATGTTCAGAACGGCAGTGGACAGTACCTAATCCCCAGACCCGAGGTCACCTCTATCAAAGTCTCTTTATTCACCTTGCGAGGGAGCCTCTAGGGTTGTGAGATTCAGTGATATGCAAGCTAAAGAGTCCACTGGACTGTGGAACTGAGGAAAGACTTGGTGGGTTCCCTAATAATCAAGAGAGAAATCTTTTTGATGGCTAAAGGTGCCAGTCACCCTCTTGGGGAGCAGAGCTCTTGGCCCAAGGGCATTCAGTTGTTGGACCTGGACCCTGACATGGAACTTGGCAACTGATGTCAGTCATCTGACTTTTTGGCATTTCCCTCCTTGGAGATTTATCTGGCCCACTTGTCTCCCTGAGCTTGATTCAGAGCTCAGGGTACTACCGGGATGCAGGGTTTAGGTTCCCATGTGGTTGGAAGCTGTTGTTCAAATTATCAGCTTCCGTGTCCCTTCCTTCCCGGTCATTTGGGATAGAGCAAGAGATGCTGCAAAGAGCATCCAGTTAATGAGCACGCAATTAAATGAGGCACTCAGGTGCAGCACACGCAGCATTAGAGCCTCCTAACAGCACATTGTTTTTGTTCTCTCTTTCATGAGCGGGGACTTCAAAGCCACGTTATGTCATAACGAGCATGAAAGGGAGCTCTGTTCAGAAAGTGGGTTTCATTAGGAACTTCACCACGGGTAAGCCGAGTGCCAAGAGTAACATACCAGCTGAAGGTCCTGGTAACTCACTGTCCTTTAATATATGCCTAGAGCCCACCCTGCACGAAGAGATGGCGAGAACACACACGCAGCCCCTTCCCAACTGGACACTGTGGCCAAAACTGGCAAGGTCCACATCTCGTGTGTGTTTTCCACTGGAGTATAAAAATGCCAATCATAACAAAAGTAATTAGAGAAAAGAGGCCGTGGATTTTAAAGGAAGTGGGAAGAGGGGACCCGGGAGGAGTTGGAGGGATGAGAGAGAGCGAGGAAGGTTCTGATTACAGTTTAATTTTTAAAATTGAAAAAGAAAAAGCCACGGTAGCATGGGCCCCTATAAACCTTAGTGTTTGGTAAGTGTAAGTTCTCACTACCTCTTCCTACTCTATGTTGAGACACTTCCTGGAGACTTAAAAAGGATGATTGTATTCTCCCTTCTGTCTCTCTGACAACTCAAAGACTGCTCCCCGGAAGTCTGTTCCACAGCAAACACTCTGCTGGGCACAGAGAGAAATGTATGAAGCACACTCTGAATAGTGTCCATTAGAAGGGGAGGGGGGAGGGACAAGAGCACAAGGGGACCAGGTATGGTGCCGTAC